ATGATCCCAAATGAAACACCCCTTATCACCACGCACAAAAATTAATTATCGGAAAAAATGACCATTTAGGTCTGATTACTTTATTAATACAATATAAAATACATATGAAGTAGGATAACTAACTATCCGCTATTTTTCGATAAATTTTTCTCGTACGCGACGCCTCTTGCTTTCGGGTTCATCACATGTGGTTAACCAGGATTGGTATTACATCTGAAATAGAAGTGATCGGTGAAAAAATATCTATTAGGTTTTACGGATTACCTATATACTCAGAGCGCTGAGCCTTTGACTCTCCGATTTACACTTTCACATTTACCTTAGTTGAATTCTCGGATTCCGTCTGGTTAAAAATTTGTATGAATTAATTATGAATTTTTTCCCATTCATTCATGAGATCATCTAGCCATGCGGTACTTAATCCGCTTTTTATTATACTGCGACGTAATAACTCTTCACCAACCAGCCTTTCCCGATCTGTTAAAAATTTATGATATTTTCTAGGATCCTCCTTTCTTTCTATTTCACCACGATAGAAACGTATATCTCTTTCCAAATCCCCACAAAAACATTTTCCATCCCATCTTTTTTTCTCAGCTTCAGCAATGACCGCAAATTTCTCGGGATCTATTTTATGTTTGACGGCATGTTGATAAAGGCGAGTTTTGTTTGGATCAGTCTTGGGGATTGAGGAGTTGCAAATTTTGTTTGATACCCTTACTTGAGTTTTCAGCAAATTCTGTATGGCAATTATAACTTTCTTATGATCAATGCGAAAAGGACAGTTGAGAAAATAGTGATCATTTTTTCCTAGACAGTTCCAGTCACCCCACATACCTAAACGTGTATGTACTTCATTGCATATCAGACATTTATCTTCTGGATCTGTATATTTAAAAACATCTCGATACCATGCATTCGATTTAATATATCTCAAGAAAGGGAATCGTTTATGTATTGTTTCATGGATTATACCTTTATCTTCTGGAAACTTGAAAATTTTGATGATACAGTCTTGCGAAAGATGATTATCAGCATTTTCGATTTGTTTAGATTCGGAAGTTTTAGAGTTTATCCAGGGATCAAGCCCAGTTTCTTCCGTATATGCTCTATATAAGATCAAACGAATTTTATCAGTCAAAG